TTATGTGTGTCATTTTGAATTGAGCACTTGCAAACGGGGCCGCGTGCATAGTAGAAAGATTAGGGTATGCTCGTACGCCTCTTTTCGACTGCGCATGCCAAAAATCTTGTTCAAGATAACGTCACACATCGAGCGGCACGTTTAAGCGGCGACTTTGTCATAGTTCTCTCTAAAAGCGTTTTGAACTGACATGTGATCTCTCGTGATAAGTTCTCTCCACAGAAATATTTAAAAGAAAATGTACAAAAATGGTTTCTTATGTAAAATTATCTGAGCTTTTCAACAAAAAATGTTATTTCACAGAGAACTGCAAAAAGCTGAAAAACATATTTACAATATACAAAAAGATTTTTTTGCCGTTGCGCAAAATTTCTGATTTTTAAAACTATTCTTCCAAAGAGTTGCGACTTTTTAACTAAACAGTTGTGATTTCCCAATTAAAATAGCCGTAAGGTTTAAAAAGTATTGAAAAAAAATCAGAAATTTGGCGCAAAAGCAATCTTTTTTATATAGTAAACGTATAAACGTGTTTCACAGCTTTCTGCAGTTCTGAGTGAAATATATTTTTGGAAAATCTGAGATTATTTTACGTAATAAACCAGTTTGGCACATTTTTTTCTTTAGTTTCCACATCATTTCACGTTGCAAGTCATTGTTTTCGAGTATTAGAAAATCAATTTATAACTTTATAATTACAACGCACGATTGTTACATTTAAAAGGATGCGTAAATATCATGTAAATATCATGGTAAATACGCCATTTGAGTTGCATCAGCAGTCGACTGTCGTAGCGGCGCCGCCATTGCTTGTGACGTCAATTTGGACAAAAAGAGGAGATGCGCAGTGGTCTAACGTCTTACGAGCCTACCCTTGTCTTTCTACTATGGCCGCGCGCTGATTGGATGCGTGTGCGCATCGTCGGGAATGCTTCACCTTGTTTTTTCCACCATGCGTATATACATATATATATATATATATATATATATATATATATATATAGAGAGAGAGAGAGAGAGAGAGAGAGAGAGAGAGAGAGAGAGAGAGAGAGAGAGAGTATCCCAGAATTGGTGTAACATTTCTCGTAGATAGAAGAAGTAAAACTGAGTCTTATAAGTACCGTGCGCTAGCCAATTGCGCCACTGGAGCTGTTGAGTAAAACTGAGTCAAAAAGTCCTATACCATTTTGCTAGATTCGCAATAGTTACCGAGATCTTAATTAACAAAGATCAGCGAATAAGCATGCATCGGGCTGTCTTACGCGCGTAAGACAGCCCGGTGCGCTTCGCGCGTTTACGGTGTCATCCGTAGCAACATATGGGAGGAGCTAATATAACAGCATATACTATATAACACACATATATTAAAATGTAATCGTGCGAAGCGCGCCGAGCTGTCCTACGCGCGTAAGACAACTCGATGTATGCTTATTCGGGGATCTTTGTTAATTAAGTTCTCGGTAACTATTGGTTAACTAAGTTCTCGAATCTAGCAAAATGATACAGGACTTATCGACTCAGTTTTACTCCTTCTACCTGTCTACGAGAGATGTTACACCAATTCTGGGACACCCTGTATATATATACAGGGTGTTTGGTAATTGCCGTCTCATCACTCATGGGTAGATAGAAAGGGTTATTCTAAGACGAAAAGTTCTATACCACTTTTAGGAGATTCGCAATAATTAACGAGATACTAATTAATAAAGATCTGCTAATCAGCGTGCATCCAACATAAGGACAGCGTAAGTACAGCCCAATCTTTTGCGCGGACGCGCCGTAGCGACGGAATGGGAGGAGCTAATAGAATAACATGTGTATACATCAGAGCCTTCCAATTGATCATGTGACTGCATAGAAATCTTATGGCGCAAACCTTACACCATATATACTTATAGACACGGCCTGTAGATATGAATCACGAGTCGAGGTAAAGCAAAGATAATATTATCTACGTGACGTCACATGTGGGCATTTCAGCAATTGTTCGGCTAAACGCGGCCTTGTAGATGATATTATCTTATCTTCAAGGCAGTTATCTGAAGCTGTCTATAAACGCGCCTTTGCTTTGCTCACATGTGACGTCATGTAGATGATATTATCTTTGCTTCAAGATAGTTGCCTGAAGCCGCGTCTATAAGTATATATGGTCTAAGGCGCAAACCGCACGCCGTGCGCGAGTTAAAAGGCTCTGGTATACATAAACAGCATATACGTAAGGTACAGACGGCGTCATTAATTCGAAGAATAGGCGCGGGGATCGGAGGGCAAGCGGGGTGGTTGCTCGTAGCGCCAACGGGCGCCGTACTAACTAACTAGTAGCAATCGGGTGTCCACAACTGGACACCCGATTTTGGGACTAATGGATATTTGGATCAACTGGACTTTTTATGTGATCCCCGCGCCTATTCTTCGAATTAATGACGCCGTCTGTACGTTCGGGGAGCGCGCTATCCGCGCTATTCTCATTTTTCATATTATTCTATCAGCTCTTCCCATTCCGTCGCTACGGCGCGTCCGCGCGAAAGACTGGGCTATCCGTATGTTGGATGCATGCTGATTAGCAGATCTTTATTAATTAGTATCTCGTTAATTATTGCGAATCTTCCAAAAGTAATATAGAACTTTTTGTCTTAGAATAACCCCTTTTACGTACTTACGAGCGGTAAGACGGCAATTACTAAACACCCTGTATATATATATATATATATACAGGATGTCCCAGAATTGGTGTAACATCTTTCATGAACAAATAGGAGTAAAACTGAATCAAAAAGTTTTATACCATTTTGCTAGATTTGCAATAGTTACCGAGATCTTAACAAAGATCTGCGAATAAGCATGCATTGGGCTGTCTTAAGGTGCCATTACACGGCGCGTGGTTTGACGAGTCTGTACAAGCTTCACGCCGCTCGTACAGGCTCGTCGATTCGTCCTTTATCAAGCTCTGACTGTTCTCACGACGCGTTAATTCGCGAACTTCGCGCCACGGCGCGCCGCTTGTAGTGCTGTGCGAACCATGGTAGTGTTAAGGTGCCATTACACGGCGCGTGGTTTGACGAGTCTGTACAAGCTTCACGCCGCTCGTACAGGTTCGTCGATTCGTCCTTTATCAAGCTCTGACTGTTCTCACGACGCGTTAATTCGCGAACTTCGCGC